ACTACTGTGTCAGTGGGGTCTCAGCAGCTTTCCACTTTCCCTGTCACTGTTAGTAGGACAGACTACCAAAAAAGGCAAAAAGCAGGAAGCTTGCTGATATACTTACAGATTTTCACACCTGGTTATTAGATAAAATTTCAAGATGTTCAGATTAAAGGCAGCCTAAGATGACCCCAGTCAGCAGTGATGAGATTTCTATGAAGCCCATAAAGGAGGGTCTCCAGGCACTGTAAGGGCATAGCTGCCCTTCTTGTAGATTTAAGGAAGGAGGAGCCAGATAAGCACTTCTAGAGTCCCAGGGAGGTTTATTTGTGGTTAAATCTCTGCTACAATGATTACCAGCAGATACAGCACACACCAGACAGCAGAAGCAACAACCTCAAGTGCTGATTTCATTCCTCAACTAAAATTCTCTGAGTGGGAGACTTCTGACGCCTCTCCCAGCAGTTCATGCAGCTCTATGAAAAGAACAGGATTTGCACACCCTTTTTTTAATTTTCTTTTTTTTTTTTTCCTCTCCCCAAAAGCATATTGCTACAGACAAAACGCAAATACAGAAACATGGGGGAAGATTTCTTTCTTACCACCACCTCTGGGGACCACTTCTGGCACCTGGCAACACTCAGAGCAACAGGAGAATCCCCATCTCCTCCCTCCAGGGAAGTACCACTGCTTATGTCTCAAGAGATTTGTTTTCTCATTTGCCTATAAGCAAAAAAGACATTCTCCAGTGAATGAAGGTAAAAATATTTTGTTTAGAAGCAAAATGCAATGCAAACAAGCAGCTGCCAACTCAGGTAATGAATAACTCAGACACTTCTTTCTACAGTTATGAGTCTTTTTCCTTTCTCTGAAGAAAAAAAACCCTACTTGATCTTTCTTCACATATATATTTCTACATTCAGCTCCACAGGTACCAACTACTATTGCTTTCAGAGGGCCTAACTGGCACATGTCTATGAAATCAAAAGCAAGTGCTCTAAATTTACCACTAATAGTGAAATTGCAGCTTCTATTCAGACAGAAGCAAGGGCTTGCATAAACAAGAACTAGCCTACTTTTCCTGGCTTTACTAATCAGCATAATAAAAGGTTATTTTACTTCTCTTACCTCCAAACCCTGTCTTGAGAGAAGTTACTGAAAACGAAGCAGAAGCAATTATCTGCTCTCAGAACACACACTTAATCCCTATATTTTATTAAGAGTGTTTTTTATGATCCTGAAGCAATTAAGCTAATCATTATTTAATTTTAGATTACTGAACTGGAGATTTACTTCAGACACAAGCTCACTTTCCACATAATTTAGTCTCAGTAATTAGAGATGTACTTTACCCAGAGGTGGCTTGTTTAAAGCATGTTATCTAATTTCACAAGCCTCACACCATGAAAGTTTCATGCAGAAACCTACACCCCAAACTTCAAAAATGAGAGAAGCCCTGAAGACACTCAGATTTACCAGACTGCAAACCTCTTTTTCCTTAAAAAAATAAAAAATATTCTCCAAACATGTGCCCAGCAAGTTAATGTATCACAAAAGCTAACACAAAGCATTCCTATAACCCACCACTCCTTCAGCAAGTTGTTAGAACAAAGAGTGCTCCTCTCACACGGATCACTTCATTTATAACTTCTTTTAACCAGGATGCAAAGTGTGCAGACAAATAGAAATGTTTGATTAGGATGTTCAGCAGGTACCTGCCACAGGATGTAATCAGTGAGGAAACATTCAGACACTTGAAGGGTTCTGTGACAGTGTTATCAGAGGAACAGAAATAGGGACCAGGCAGGTAGGTTCTCAGTGTACATGCTGACCCTGGACATGACACCATTGGAAAACTACTCAATTCCAAATTACTTCAGATAAAACTGTGCTGTAGAAACCAAACTGTACTTGGAAACACCAGGTACCCTGGACACTCCTACCCACCCTGCTCAGCTTTAGCTCAGCAGACAGTTAATGCCAGGCCATCCAGGCTGGGACATCAGCCAAGGCCACTTTTATGTCAAAACACACTTCCTGGCTTTTGGAACAAAGGGCACCATCTTCCACCACTGCCACTAAAGAGAAGGAAAACATGACCAGGCAAACATTTGAAAAATACACACTGCTTTTTGCAACTTTTTGCCTTCTAAATCCTCCAACAAAACCAAAACGTGCATCTGCTCAACACTCAATTAAAAGCCAACTGTATTCCAACCTCTAAAAGTGCAGAAAATGCAGATTCATTTCAAGACTTTAGTGCCAGTACTTTCATGAACCAGTTTGACTTGTCACGTAAGAAAGGTGACAGAACTCACCAACAGCACGTGAGATTTCAGCAAAGACTGACAAAGAAAAATCAGAACATGAAGCTACAAAGAGCTCAGAACAAAACAGGCTGGTTACTGGGAGTGTGTTCAAAATAAATACAAGTAAGTGTCAGCTATCTGGATATTCAACAAACATACTTTTCCATGTGGTATCCCATTAAAAGTGTGAACTTGGAGACAGAGGAACTGTGACAGCAGTAAAGATTCTGCCCAAAAGAGATGGTGCTTGACAGCACAGAAACAAAAATCTGCAGGCTTTTTGGAAGTAACTGATGAAAAGACAAACCCCAACAATCAGTCTTCTTGTTAATTAATGGCTTGCATACAAAAAAAGAGTAATTATGGCAGCTGGTGACAAAGCTGGGAAGCAATCTGAACATGAAGGTGCATGGAGGTGTTAACACACAGGCACCATGGCCATGACTGGAGCCACAGGACTGGGATGCACTTGCTCCTCATGAGACAGTAAAGACAACCATTAGGAAGGAAAATAAACCACTTCAGGCAAAAAAGGCTGCTGAAACCAGAACCAACAGGTATCAGCTGGTCAAGAGTAAGTTCAGGCTTGAACCCTTGAGAACAGCAAAGTTCTGGGAGAAGTTTTTGGTGGCAATAAACCTACATGCTTAAGGAAGCTCTGTTATGACATATTACCAGCTTTCTTTAGCTCCAACTATTTTTGTAGCTGTTCCATCTAAATATTCATCAAAGGGTCTATGAAAGAATCACCAAAAGCAGGTGGTTCAGTTGTCAGTGCTGGTGGGGGAAGATGATACTGTGAATTACAGAGCTGGGGGGAAGCTGGCTTATAGGATAACATATAAAAAATTACCATAACACTCCTGCACACCTGCATGACAAGCAAACACTGTTAAATTTAAAATAACATCATCAGCCATGTTTTTTTCATTAGAATCCACACATGCAACTATGGCAATAAAAAGTGTTCATTAAAAACGCTCAGCAAGTCACGAGCAGTATCTCATCCTGCTTCCCATTATCCCACAACAAAGGGATCCTTAAAACCAACCCAACACAAGTTGAGCTGCTCCTTGGAACAAGCACATTCTCTGGTCTTGAAGCAATTCTTGAAAACATGGGCTACCAGAAGGATCTTTGCCTTTTTCATTGCCTGTGTACAGCAACTCCTATGCAGACATTTTACTAAAGCTGATAAAACCGAGGTCAAAGTTCCCAGAATGAAAGAGTGAAACTGGTAAGAGAATAATTTCTGGTTCAAGACTGAAGCACAGCAGCGTTATGCAAGAGAACAGAATCTGAAAGCAAGCTTTGATCTGGAAATGTTTATTGTCCTGGTGCCTGCTAAGAGGTACCTGAGCCCCAAAGAATGAGAGAGAAGCTCTTCTCATTTGAGATCTTCATCTTTCTCACTTGGAAAAAAAATGTATTGAGATATATATATATAGATATAGATATATAAATAAAACACTATGTACTGGACACTGGCAGCTGTATCAAATTGCTTTTCTGATGTCTTCTAAAATGGAACAAACAGATTTAGGCAGCACATTGAGGATGAGAGACATAGTTAAGCGTACACACACAAGTATTTTTCCATTTCAAAACAGTCCTGCAATTAATTATAAATGTGCATGCACTTAAACACACAGTTTCTTTCTTGCACAGTACTTGCACTGAATTCAATATAACCTTCAAACCCATGTTTCCATTAGCTCCTTTGTGATACCACAGCTTTGAAAATATTCTCAGTGCTCCAACATTCAAGGCACACAAGATTCAAAAGTGGCCACTCAACTCTATCTTCAGCATCATCTCACAAGGAGAACATTACATTCCTTTTTATTTCCTCCACCCCTTCTTTCCTTTTTCTTAAATAATTTATTAAAACTACTGAAAGTATTTTCTGGTCAGCTTTCTTCCTCACTACAGGAAGCATAAATATCTTTTAATCCCTGATTCCACAGCTTGGTTCCCTCTCTAAAGGCCATCTTCTACATAATAACCTGATGTTGATGGACTAATGTCAGGAGAAAAAGTGGGGGAAATGATAATGTATTTTTAATCACAAGTTGAATTACTCCCTAGATAGCAAAGCTGATTTCATGGCATGCCCCTCTCTCAGTGTCTTATGGAATCATCCATCACTGACAGAATGACTTGGAGAAATTTCTTCCTGCTACCATCCTACAACTGTGACCATCACTTCTCAGAAAGAGAGCCTTTAAAAACAAAACTAAAGGTAACTGGAAATTAGCAGCAGGACAACCAGAGAGGATGTCAGTAAGTTATGATGGGTGTACAACAATCAGAAGTGGTTTCCCCCCTCATAATCCATAACTGACCTATGAACCTTCTTGCCACGGCTGTCAGAGGTGGTGTAAGTAGAGTGAAAACAGAACTGGAATCCTGAATTACACAGAAATGACAGAGCAAATACCAGTTACTGTGTTGACTGTAAATCCTGTAGTAGGGAAATCCATTCTAAACCAGACTACTGATCTAGATGGACCAATGACAGACAAATTCTCTCCTTTGCAGGATGGAAATTAGACTTCTTCAGCAAACAAAGCTATTCATTTTCCATTGCAACTTGCAACCAAACCCTTCAGTCCTGAGCTTCTCTCTAAGACAAGAGAGGCAAGAATGAAATGGGTGAATGTATCTGTGGCCTCATAATTCCATAAAGTTCCATGTTGACTCATCAGGAGAACGTGAGCACCAGCAGCCCATCAGTTTCATCCAACTCTGTCCCTAACCATGTAGAGCCAGGACTCTGATGGATAAACATTCTGGAGCAGGTTCAGCTGTGGCAGCCTAAAACATTACTGCCCCCTCTTGTCCATCCCAGCCTTCTGCCAGGCATCACTGCTCCATTCATCCACCTCAGCTGCTCCAAGCCACAGCACAGTGTCACTTCAAACTCCTGATGAAGGTGGGTTCTTATCACGACTCTTATTTATTTTTTATAGGCAAACTGCACCTGTAATTTTCCAGCTGTGAACTGCTGGGGCTGAAGCAGCTGCACATGGTCCCTTCTGCAGTGGTTGGCAACATCTGGAGGAGGAGGAGGTGATGTCAGAGGTCATTGCAGCAGGTCTGAGACAACTCTGGTCCAAGCTGAAGAGGTTGAATTATTCTTGCTGAAAGAGGCTGCAATTCTCCTGTTGCTAGAGCCCAGAGCCAGGGTAAGTTCTCAGCAAGTTAACTCAGTACAGCACTACAGTGCTGGAAAACTTTCACTCCGAGTTTCAGAGGGGACAGAATTCCAAATGCTGGGCAGGAAACCATGGCCATGTGAAAATGAAGCTGGGAGACAGCTGCCCTAAGCAACCAGGGCAGAGCATCTTTGAAGCAAGTGAAGTGTGCCCTGTCCTGGGAAATCTAATCCCAGTTACAGTCCAGACAGAGCACTGTACTCCCAGGAGTAAATTCTTACAGCCTGGTTGTCTCTGAGGTTTTCCCATGCCTTATCCCTGATTAAAGGCCTACATGAAAAGCAGCGTAAGAGAGTAAGTGTAAGAGGGGAATTTGAGCAGGCTTAGTCAAGGTTTCTGCATTTCCTTGTGTTTTGGAATGCTTGGGGGTTTAGATGGGTTTATTAACAAAATTTAAATTGTAAATAAATCTTGAATGTTGATGCAAGCTCATCCATACTTTCTAAAAGTGTTGCCTAAACTGGCTTCTGGGAAGAAGTAGGCTCTGAAAAAGGACCTAAATTATTATTTTTTAATGACCATTAAGTGCACAATTTTATTTATTTTTCTTACTGCAATATATAATCTGTCACGTTCAGAGTGATTCTAAGAATTTCTTTTTTCTTTTAAACACTTTTACTTAGAATAAGCCCATTACAGACAATGTTTATGGCAACAGCAGAACACAGAGCTATGTAAAGCACAGAAACAAGGAGAGGTGCTGTAATCAGCATTGAAATACTACAGAGACAGACCTGAGCAGAGTGAGTGTGGGACACATACACAGAACAATCTGCAGAGTAAGGGATAAGCTTAACTTACTGATTTCTCCTCCTCTTTCACTTTTTCTTAAATAACAAACAAACAAAAAAATCAGTTGCAAACATCCTTCCTCTCTACTGCTGTGATGTTTTCTTTGGTGTGCAATAGATTTATAGGTAGCTTTTAGAGCTTTCAGTGGACTTTAGTCAGGAAAAAAAAAAAAAAAATCCTAAAGACAATTCTTCATAATTACCCAATAACAAGAAGCAATTGATCATTAACTTTCATGCTCTGATCTTCCACAAGCAGACTTTGCAGTTACTGCAAATTAATCATTTCCTTAGGTACTCTTAGGCAAAGGTAATAGGAAGGAGCTATCTCATGGGATTTGAGAATTGCAGCAAGTCTTTGGCAGAAATACCTTTCCTTTACCAGCTTTGAGTCTGTAAGGTTCCGAAATGAAAACCTGGAGGTGACGTGTCATCAGGATTAAAACTCTCAGCCACCTGGACGTCCCAGCAGGCCAGACTCACATCACCTTGAGCTCACCCACACCCTTTCTCAGCCTTCTTTAAGCCCCCTTTAGCAAGGGACTCTCTCCAGGGTCACAAGTCAAGCAGGCTTGGCTAAAAATATTCCCTGACACTGTCCCTGTTCTGCCTCACTGTCACATCCACCTCACCCTGGACATCATCCAAGGGACAGTCATGTCCCAGCACTGGGCACACACCTGTTTGTAGCTCAGGGATCCTCCAGGAGTTCTTTTACTCCCCCTGGTTAGATTAAACTACCTACCAATGTTTATGTTTATTCACTATTCGAAATTCAAATTTGAGTGAAATTAAAAGGCTCTAGAATGGCAATCTAGTTAAGAACTTTATGAAGAGCACTTTAGAAATAAAATCTATTATAAAGCACTTAAACTAATGAAGGTTGCTCCCTGTCCAAAATCCTTAGCATTCTGCACTAAGAAGGTAAAAATCGTTTAAAGAAACCTTTAAAATTCTGAACTGCTGCAGGTAAGATCTGAAGAGACAACAGTGAAACAAGCTACATTTGCTATCATATCTCATTCCAGGACAAAACAAGGAAAAAATGGTTTAATACCCCTCTAACCTGAGAAAAAAATAATATTATTCTTTTTTATAGGTGAAGTCATTTCATAGTGAATGAGATGATAATCTTGAATGCATCACCTCTTCAGGCTCTCAGAAAAATTATACATCTGCATACTCATACTATAGATATTCATACTCAAACCAGGGAACAGTGTCTAGCAATAGAATAATAATAAAAAATTCAAAATACAATCTTCAATAGAGCTAACAGTGGAGGTAGAGAAGGCTTAGCTCATCCTATGTAGGAGGACCTGTACAATGGAATTTTGAACTGTCTTTTTTCCTCTTGTTTACACAAGGAAAGTTTTTTAATACCATCTTAATAGCATTTTTAATTAACCAGAAATACACATAAATAATAGATTTCAAGAAGCCTGATGGGGCTTGCATTATAAAATAACAATGTAATTAATTCCTATGAGGAAGCATTATCTTTACACTGTCCTACCTTGGTCAAACACAGCGAGACAGTAAATTTGGTTAAAAGCAGAGAAGAGTGGGGGGAAATAAACCAAGTCAAACAGAAGAGCAGCGGCTGAGGAGACAAAAATACCTGTGATCAAAGGCTGGCACAGCATGGGTGTTTTATTAATCTTGCAGAGCCCAGGGAGCAGCCCTGCCGTGGGTCTGTCCACGCTCCTCCCCACGGCCACACCTGTGACAGGCAGAGAAAACCTCCCCAGACCATTCTCCCTGGCCAGCCAGGGCTGGCACAGGGCCCTGCTCACCCCAGCCCAGCGGGACTGGAGCAGGTGCCAGTTATTTTTATGTCTCAGCTGCAGTTTACATCTGACCTGCTCTCAAGTTCAAAGAGAGCAGCAGCCTCAGCAAGCCCTCGGGGAGGGCAGAGCCTTGTGCTCCCGGCTCATCCGTGGAGGAAGGGTGGCGAGGGATGGGCAGGTGGTGGCCATGGAACTGTCTGCAGGAACGGTCTGCTGCAGCCATCAGAAACCAGGGCCTGTCTGATGCTGCACAACGTGAGAGATGCCCAAAAGGCCTGAGCCCTCATCCCCCATCACCACAGCAGCCACCCCTGGCAGCAGCAGGCCGTGGGGACGAGCTCGGGCCGATCTCGGTGTTTCTGGACACTGGAATGTCTGCACAGCTCAAAAATACAGGAGCAAGGCACTGAATTCATCCATGTCAAAAGGCACTGAAGTAATAATCTAATCTCAAACTGATTCACCAGTTCACTCTCACACTGCAGATCTCAAAGGACTATTTGGAACAGAATCAAGTGGCCAAATACCTGCAAGGAATCATGTCCACAGCAGTTCATCTGCAAACTGAGAATTACTTGAAAATCCACTTCAAGTAAGTCATTCTCCTGCTACGAAAATCTCAGCTTCCAGGATTAGAAACCTTTTGGAAGATTATTCACTCCCTCATCTGACAGTTAAAAGGATGCCAGAATTACTATATCCTGGACTGCAACTGAGGCCATTCAGTGAAAGCAGCTTTCCTATCAAGGGACCATCTTTTCAGTGAGATCCATTACATACCTCAGGGTTTGACTGAAGTATTTAGTATCCTTTTTTTTCCCCATAAACACAAGGACCAAGCAGTCTTCTAATCTTCAAGATCACAAATGCCCAGCTTCTACAGCTGCAGTAATTAAACCAACTTCTCATTCCATTACCCACATCAAGTCTCTTCCTCGGCATCTGCTCTATTCCCACACTGCACTTTCAATCAAACCAAGATAAGCTATTTTCTAAGATCAGCTGATTTGTCTGTCCCTCAAGACATCACCAGAGCCAAAAGGATTCTGAGCAGATATGATGCATCTTGCTAAATATCCAAAAGGTCTCTTAAAGGAAAAAAAAGCAGACGTCAATGCAAGTGGTTATTTTTAGCATCTGAGTTGTTCTATATTTATTCCTTTATGTCCTTCTAAAAAAAGCACAATCTGATGAAGCATTACCATAAAATACACTCTACTGGGAAGTCTGCTTTATGACTCCTGGCTACTGAGCAACAAGTACATCACAGCACCCACTGAACCACACGAGTTTAAGGGTGCACACAGGACAATGCTTCCTCAGTTCCAAAGAAATGTTTAAAACAGTCCAAACCCAAAAACCAAACAAACCCATCCACACAGAAAGCAAACTCCTCAGTATAATCTGTCATTCTGATTAGATGCCACTCTTCAGACTGAAGCTTAAAAACTGCCACTTTTAAGTATTTTTAATTGTCTAAATCCCCAAAAAACCCTCAAGACACCTTGTGAGTTACCTGTTAAAAACAACACAAACCAAACTCCAGGACACACCATACTGCAACAAACCCTCAAGTTAGCAGGAACAGCAGCAGCTCAGCTCATACAAATACTCAGACTATGAAAGACTACTTAATCTCTTCCTTATTCTCTTCCCTCAGAGCTTTTACCTTTTTGCCCTGAAGACTCCTGGCCCTCTACCTCCAATATATTTACCCCAATATCCCTGTGCCTCTGATCCTATGCAAATCAGCTGAAGATACATTTTCAAGGACAAGAAAATCAGTTTATCAGTTAATCAAAGGTGTGGTTTATTTGTGTAGGAAGAGTTATGTCAAATGAACAGGAAAAGAAAAACTGTGTCAAGGAAGCTTCTGCTAATTGCAGTAAACTTTCATAAGAAAAAGAAAACAGTTTAAGACAGGGCCTAACATTTACAAAACTGGGAAGAAAACTTGTGTTTTGGAGCTAATAGTATTTTAATTTGCTGCTCTAGAAAGACAGCTGTTATCTAGCCACAGTTATTTTAGATTTTTGCTTTATGCTAGATCTCTCAACGTGCCCATCCATCACTCAGCCGTGCCCTTCAAGTATTTTACCAACTGGCATTGCCTACACATCGACAGCTCTCTGATCCCAGGGTAAACAACAGATGGTGGAGGGACTCCAGAGTATGAAGCCACGCTCAGCACACACACTGATATCAGATGAATAGGTTTGGTCAGTGGCAGGTTATTACTGCCTTCATGCAGTGCAAATCAGCCAAGTCAGAGATTTTCCACCGGGTAAAAGTATGGATCTCCAAAAAATTATACATTTTTGAAGCTAAAAACATGCATGCCTTAATTACCTCAGTCTCAGACTGACCTTTGTCTATTTGTCTACAGAGACCTTGCACTACATAACTGCTGTACTATGGAAGCCAGAATGACTCCAGGTTAATTTTAAAACAAGCTGTTCTGAAAGCTTTCAACTGAGCAAACCCACCTAACTTCTCCTATCTTGTTGTGAAATATTTTTCCTTACTGATTAAAATGTTTCCCATGCAGCTGTGATTTCATTTTAGTCTTCTGCAGAAAACTGAAGAAAATATCTAGCTTGAATTCAAGCATCCTCTTCTCATACTAACATAAAATTCACCAAAAAAGGGAATTCTCTCACTGTTGTGCATCCTCTACTAACAAAAAAAAATCAGTTTCTTTATCATTGTAAAGTACCCCAAAGCAAGACAGCAAAAACATGAAAAACCTTAGGGAGAAATTAGATGCTTTTTATCCTCTCTGATTATTAAAAACAAACAACAAAACACATACACCAAGCAAAATGAAATTATTTTTGCTTAAGGAAAGTTCATCTGTGGCAGAAGGAGCACATCTGATTTATTCTCATTTCCTAGATGAAAAGCTATTTAGTTCAGATGAAAATTCTGAGGCAGTTTGTCTCTTTCGTGGATTGGATAACCCCTTTTTCAAAATGGATTAAATTCCAGAATAAGCACGTCAAGAGAAGTTTGTTCAGGAACCTGCACTGTGAATGAAATGGGGTTTGCCTCTTGGCAATCTTCTCTTTTCCTCTATTACTTAATGCCCAAACTTAGCTGTTTTATAGATCTTGTTAGTATTTGGGTGTCAAACTGACCAATACAACCCGTGCACTGGAGAAGGCCAACACACAGCCAGGTGTAACACACTTGTTTAGAGCTGCTCACACATCCTTCCCAGCTCCCTGGTGTGCTCCCCTGAGCAGACACCCTGCAGACCTGAGCTGGTTCCACAAGCACAAAGCTCCCAAGGACACAAACCACCGAGGGGGTCACTCCTTGGACCAGCCATGCTGTAATCAAGAGCACACAAGGGACAAAAATAGCTTCTTTCAGAGGAATTAAGACTGCAACATGACCTCTGGCACCTGCTATGAGAAGGTGGAAAAAGCAAGAAGGGAAGTCCAGCCAGAACACAACCAAGTCCCAGCCACAGCCAGCATCAAAGGTAGTAGCTAAAGAGGGCTAAGTTGCTCCCTTTGCACTTTCATAAGTAATGCATTTTTATATTTGATGTTAACCACTATTTCTGCAGATCTCAATACTTTGTGCTGCTTTGCCTTCTGCTGAGGCCCCTCCAGCCTCTTGTGCCACTTTTCTTTCCTCAATATTTGCCCTTCCTTCTGTCATCTTCCCTATCACTGCTGAGCACCCCCCCTATTTTCAGCTTTATTTTGTATCATCCGCTCCAAAATATTCTTTCCCAAGACAAAGATCAATCCCCTCTATGAGCACAGAAGCATAATCTATTAGTTTATACTGCCCTCCAAATAAGCCAGGCCTAAATCCCCCCTAGGCACGCTTGGGATCTGGGACACCTGTGTGGTTTGTTACACTCACTGGTTATCCTCATCCTAAAAACTCTAGGCACCACTGCCTTCCTTCAGCAGCTTCTTCCCTTGAGATGGCAACAGCTAACAGGGCTTTTGCTAAATTTTCCTTCCCCTCCCCAGCCCAGCAAAGCAGACAGCACTCCAAGTGCAGGGTCTCAATGCCCTGAAGCCCACTCCCCTCGAGGTCTCCTCAAGGAAGGTGACAGGAGTCAGAGGCACAAACCTGGAAACGAGGAAGATCCAAAGGGTTGGAGGCCCAGCAAAATTGCTGTGCAGGATAATCCAAAGGGACAAAAGGTTGGTTGATTTGAGTGTGCACACAGGCACGAAAACATGGGGAGGGCAGGTGAAGCAGATTCAGGATCCATCTCTTGCTCCATCTGCATCATCTCAGGATCCATCTCTTGCTTTTTATTCATCAGTGCTCACTCACTAACAAGTCACAGCACAAAGTTTTGTCCCCCTGTGTCTGTTCCAAGACACTGATCACAACAGTTTTCCCTCTGGGACAAGTGTCTTAGACGAGACCCATGCTGGGTACTCCAACTTTTTGAAGCAGACTTGTGAGGCTGAAATGACACCCTCAGTGTCCACAGCAGCCCCTGTGACTCTCAGGGCCCTGCAGGTATCTGTGTCCAGCCTTTTCTGCAGGCAGAACCGGGCAGCACGTGCCACCTCCGTCAGGCAAGGTACAAGGTGCTGGCCTGGAAATGCCTTTCCATGGCCTGCAGGCAGCAGGAGGAGCAAAGAACTGCCCCCAGTGTTTATTTAACAGCGGTCCTGGTCAAGGCACCAGGCTGGAATCAATATTGTTCACGCTGCCTGGGGATCCACAGAGAGCAAAGGCCCAGGTTACCTTGTTGATAACTCCCTCTACATGAAGGTAAAAGGTCTGGAAGACATCCTTGGAAACCTTGACCATAACTACACCCAGACCAGGCTCTCTCAGCCCACAACTTGTAGGGACAGAGGTTCATGAGACTTTACAGGTGACAGTCTCTGTTTTGAGCAAGGCTGAGCTGTTAAAGTTCCATTCAAGGACAGCAGAGATGCTGTACCACAGGGTGGAAGAAGGCTTTGGCTTGGCCTCTTCTCACAGCAAAGCTCTGTGCCTGCTCCTTATCATTTCATATATTGAGAGGAATGGATCCAACTGGATCAAGCTTCTCCACTGGGCCAGAGGAAAAAAGCTGCAAAACTTGAGAGAAAGCTCCTTTTCTGTCTCCCCCAAACAACAAGATGTGCAGAAAGGTGAGACCCTGGCCTGGGTGTGCTTCTGGAGAGCTGATGGAGAAAAACACCCACCCCCTGACAGCACCCTGATCTCAGAAATCAAGCAGGATTCAGGCAGCAGGTTCCATAGGTCACTCAAGTGAGCAGGAAGAGAAATAACATTTGTTCCCACAGGAGGCTTACACAGACACCACTGTCAGGGAAATGACACTCTGTGAAGTGGGGAAGAGGATAATTTGACACTTCCTGGAGCAGCAGTTCAAGGACCAGAGATCCAGGGGACAGGTTTCCTCCAGAGAGCTCTGCAGCACATGCACAGGAAGAACAGCTGACCGAGGGACTAGGGTACCTCAAATGTAAAGAACATGAAGAGGACAAAGCAAGTAAAACTGAAATCTGCTCTCTTGGCCTGCTCCTACTGCACTGCACATGGGGCTCAGCTCCCCTGGCAAAGGGATCCTCTCCTGTGTGGAGAAAAATCCACAGAGAACAGCTCCAAATTCACAGCACTGGCACTGAGGGGAAGAGAGGACTTCTGCTAACAAGTTTTATGAGAATTACATGCTATACTGCAGTATGGTTCTGTTGCTTGGGGTTTATTTGTCTTTATAAACTTTTGCTTCAGGCATCTGATGGACAGGTAAATTTTCAATCTTCCTTACAATATGTGCCTTTGTCACTGTGGTTATAATCCCCACAGCTACTAGAAAGAACAGGGATTAGTATGTCTATTTGAACTACTGATAAAGACAGAAAAGCATACCACATAGTCCTTTGATTTCCAGTTTGAGCAATATCCTGAGCCTGAACATTCAACATGGGTGTATTTCCCCCCCTTCCTCCTCCAAACACGACATTCAAACACCCAGAGGTTATCAAACACAGAGCTAGTACTAACCAGCCTCTCAGGATATGAATCCCATGGGCTCAGGGCAAATTGCTGTAGAAGCCTGTTTCTTCTTCAGTGGACTCTGTGCTGATTCACAAGCCCCATGAAGTGCTCAAGGCAAGGGCAGGATTCCACTGTGGCACGCACCCTGCCAGGCAATGCAGCCACTGCTACTTAAAGTTCTACTCTTTAGCTTGACCAGTGCTGCTACAAGACAGGCCAGAAGGCCAGATTTGGTCAAAAACAAGTCATGGGGTAACCTAACAGGGTCTAAGCAGAGTGGATGCCAAGGGGCCAGTCCTTACAATCATGTTTTTGACTTTTTCCTTTTTTTTCCCCAGAATTGTCTTCTTGTGTCTCAGAGCAGCCAGAGCACTGCAGTAACACCACCTCATTGATCCTCTGCTTCCCAAACATCTCCCTTTTACAGCTTGCCATGAAGCATCACCAACTCCCACACAAGGGCTCTGCTTCAGACATGCATTGAAGATGTCTCCTACCCTGACCCTCCCTGTCTTCACTTGATGAGTACCCAGAACCTGGAGAAAGCAGCCATCAAAGGAGAGAGGGGAGGTTTCCTTACATCCAGGCTTACCCTGACACAAGCGACACGTGGAGCAATATTTTAAGTGTGTGTGGGAAATCCCAAATCTTTATGAATATATTAGAGACTGAAATTTTTTTTTCAGTAATTTCTTGTTCTGTTTCTTTGCTTCCTCTGCTCCTGCTCTGTATATCATACATTCTGGCTTATTCTCCAGCCATAAGCACTGAGCCACAGAAATCTGAGAGAAAGCAGATCTGTCGTGCACTCACATTATCACCACCTAGATGTAAATCCTCACTATTGGCTCCCCAATAAAGAACCAGCTGCAGAACAAAAGGAATATATCTCTTTATATATATATCTTTATAATGTATCTCTTTATCAGGCAGTTCACTTCTCTTACAGGGGCTGGACAACAGGGAACAGCCAAACTGGGGGATAAAAGGAATAAAAAAGGTCAGTGTAGGGAACAGACAAAGCAGATCTGGCAGCTGCCTGCAAAAGGAG